CTGAAGGCTTTTCAGGGAGTTTTTAGGACTTCCTGATAATAATGAATTACAGTCGTCCAGCCTGTAATCACAAAGACAACAGAATCATCACAAATCTGAAATAAAGCTGATTCTTCTGTCCTCACACACTCAGGATCTGAAGCTCTTCTCTTACATTTTTTAGTCCTACAGTTCTGCTGATATGAGCTGTTTTTTTTTTAAAAAAAAGGACAAAGCCTTTTAAACCAGCAGATTATCCAGTATAATGTTTACTGTTGACTTGTTGGTGCTTGTAAATGCAGGTCAAAGATAAGACGATGGAGCAGGTTTGAGTCCTGGTTCAGTCTGCTCACTGATAAAAGCTATTTTGGAGAGAGGTATATATAATCTATGCAAATCATATAAAATTTACTCTATTATTGCACTCAGCAAAGGAATTATAAAGGAATGGGTTAATTATACCCTTTTCTTAAGAGTAAGAACATTACATTAAAAAATGCAGTAAAATATACCCCCAAACCGTGAGTCTTATGTTCCTAATTGCGCCAGACCTTTTTGACTGAGCGGGACAGCAAGCAAATTCTGGGTCTTTCCTTCGGCTTCCATCGAACCGATCGAACCACAGAATGTATGTATGTTCAGGTTTAACTGTCAAAGAGACGTTACACAATGAATTAGATCATCACAACTCTGTGTGTGTGTGCATGCGTGTGTGTGTTCAAAGAGTAAGTTTCGTTTCCTACTAAGCACATCATTATCACTGGGTGTGGTTTGGACAAACTGTGGGCTGCCACAGAGGAAGCCTTACTTCTCTTCACACCAGCTGACGGTGCGCTCGCCCTCTGCACAGACACACACCGTTAATTTAGGTTTTTGATTTTCATCTGATCATGAAGAAAACAACAAACAGCCGTGGAATTCCTGAATATTCTTTATTAAGTGAGCATACAAAGCTGAGTCGTTTAAAAGAGGTAGCTCGAGAGACTCATTTATACAAGAAATACCTCTACAAAGAAGACATCCCTGATTACCCTCGACCTGAGTTTCATGTGGCTCAACTGAAACATGACACACAGCAATGGGGGCTAAGTGGGATCCAGGAGGACAGAGGCTTCAAGGATCCTCACAGAGGCTTGAGGGATCCGGAGAAATGGCCCCTGGTGTGGTGGAGTCTGGCTGTGGGGCCCGAGGAGATCCAGGAGGCTGAGGCGAGACTCCTGAAGAAGACCTACCCAGACCGGACGGAGGAGCAGGCTGCAGAGCAGGAGAGCTTCCTGTGGAGGTTCGCCTCCTCTCCGGCCTTCAGTGAGAAGTCCATCTTTGGATCGTACCGCTTCACCTTCACGGTGGAGGAGGTGCTGGAGGCCTACAGCAAGCAGGTACTGACTGCGGAGGGTTTCTTACATTAGTGTGAAGCTCGCTGACTGATTCTGTATGTCAGGAAATGTAATTCCATGAATTCATTTATCCATCGTCTCAGACTGAAAGGAACATCAACTGAGAGAGTAAACGACCACAGAGACAAAGAAGAACATCCTGTGGCCACGAACAGCATCTGCCGTGTGTGTGTCAGTGTCATGTTCCTGGGTCTGTTGATCCAGCGTTTTAAGTTTTAGTTAATCTGGATGTTGTTTATCTTTAAGTTCATTAGATTATTGAAGTTCATTAGGTTTTTAGACTCCTTGTGTTTTCTTCCTGTATTTAAGTTTCCCTCACCCTTTGTGTTTCATGCTGCGTGTCTTATGTTATCAAGTTTGTATTATCATGTCTGTCTCATGTTTCCTGTTTTATTTTGAAGGAGTCGTGTGTTCTTTGTTCGTTGTATTAGTTTCACTTCCCTTGTCCTGTCATTAGGCTCACGTCAGTCAGCTGTTGCTCCATGTGTTCCCACTTCCCCGAATCACCTCCTGTGTATTTAAGTCCTCTGTTTTCAGTGTGTCATTGTCAGGTCGTCTGTTGTCCACGCCATGCTTCCAAGTTTCTTGTCTTGGTTTTTCTTATTGTTTGCCCTTTTTGTACCTCTTTTACCAGCCATATTAAATGGATCGCTTTTTGTTAACATTTCAAGTTCTGTTCCCTGTTCCTTGGAGTCTGCGTTTTGGGTCCTTTTGTCAACCCCCACAGTCTGCCCTCGCCAGACTGTGACAGTCAGTACACCAGTGTAACAGGTGTGTCTCTTTTATTGTTGCCAGTTTTGCTCCGGAGCTCCGCCCATCATGAGGGTGTTCAAAACCTCCCTGTACAAGAAGGAAGTGGTGCATGTTGTCCTGGTCCACAGCCCGGCCAATCAGGAGCTCTTCTCAAGGTTTCCTTTGCTCCCTCGTGATGACCCGGACGCCGTCTGCACTTATAGAGACGGACGCTTCATCTGGAGACCGGAGGCCATGTGTAAGACACACAGGTAAGAATCACACAGGTAAACATGTAACCAAAGGTCACTGAAGGGCTGTTGGTTGAAATGTATTGAAAAAGCAACTAAATCAGTTTCCCTCTCTCCAATGATTGGCTCCTTTGCTTCACTCTGGCTGTGAGCATCAGTGCGATGGACCTGTCACACTGCAGCAGGCTGAAGTCCTCTGTCAGCTGATTGGTTAAAATGCTGTGTGTGTCTCTGACCTTCCTCTCAGCTATGAGTTGATCCAAAAACCTGACGAAAACCAGATGACCGCTGATGACGTGAGGGGGAGATTTCCTCCTTATTATGTTTGGGATAATGTCGCCATCGCCCTGCACGTGGAGCGCGGACAGGTACTGTCACCTCCTCCTCACTCTGTACAGCAGGTGTCTTTGTGTGATAAAGTGTAGTGTGTACTTGTGAGCGTTTCATTCATTTTGTTTTGTAGTTTCTCCTCGTAAACGCTCGTCTTCTCTGCTCTCTGTCAGGTGCTGAAGTTTGACTGTGACCTTCTGAGAAAGAACCTCACGTTCTGTCGAGAATCCGATGGAAATGTCCCAGATGAAATCCAATTTGATGACTTCAAAGCTGCTGAAGCGTTGGTGGAAAAATTGTGGCCTGACTCAGGCCTCCAGCTGAAGGAGGAGCCTTCACTCGAGCATTTCAAAGGTAATAAATCGATACATCTCTTATTTGTGAGCCTGCGCTGGCCCGTCTGACCTCCTCTCTGTTTCTCTTCAACAGAAGAACCAAAGGAGGAACCAATGGAGCATGAAGACTCCCAGCAGTGAGACGACTACTGTGTTTTACTTTTCTGAAAACCAAACACTTCATAGTCGCGTGCTCTCAGCCTGCAGCTCTGAATCTGATGTGTCCCCATGCTGTTAGCGAGGGGGGCGGGGTTTAAATGCACACTGTCTGTGTTCACGTGGTAGATGGAGAATAAAGTTGTTTTGAATCTGAATGAATCTGTGCGTCTGTGTGTAACACCAGCTGCATCCACTGACCGTGTAATCGTGGTGTTATATTGGTACACGTGGTTGTAGAGTCAGGAGCACAGCGTTGGCCTTTCCTCTGAAACACATGTTCACCATCGATCAGGATTGTTGATTTATTTCTGAAAGTTTGCAGAGCTGAAAATGTTTGGAGGAGTTTTTTAATCTGAAACTGAGGCTACGTCCACACGTACCCGGATATTTTTGAAAACTCAGTTTTTGCATTTACGTGTGGACGAGAAAAACGGAGAAAACGCAGCGTCAAAGGTGTGCGCCTTTAAGTGTAGGTAAGCTATTTACACAGGGTGAATAATATATAATAGCGCATGCAAAAGGTAATTTTTGACGTGATGAGCTATTACACTTTACTTGTATTGCTTAGTGTAATGCACCACAGACCTAAGCACAGCATTCCACAGCCACAAGAGTAGATGTGAGGGACCAAGCAGCCAAAGCAAAGAGGACACAGGCAAAAAATATCTTCAAAAAGGGTTTTCTTTATTTTAACCCTCAAAAAGTTCAAAATTGACAAAATTCAAAAACATACTTAGCAGGTCTATAAAAGAGGTCAACTAAATATAACTCCACAAAAAGTAATTTCCAGAAACCTAAACAAAACAAAGTGAGACACTACTTAACTCACAAACTGACCTAATTACAAAGACACATGAGGGTAGCTTTTATAATGATTTGGCCAAACCATTTGAACACAATAGGGGGAAAACAAAAACACACTAATATTAACTAAGCACAGAATAGCCTAACTAAACCTAAAACACCCCTGCTCCTGGTAAGCCCATGGTTGGTCCTGCTGAGCAGGCATTTTGTTCCCAGAGTCCTCAGCCACGCCTTTTGCCCAGACAGGAAACAGCCACCGCCCAAACCCAGGTAACTCAAAGAAAGAGAAACATTATTAATATAACAAAACATTTTAGAAAAACCACACAATGTTATTATGTGCGCGCCTCACAATATCAGTGTTAGGTTTAACCAAATGATTAATGAATTATATTAAGAAAACTGCAAAGCAAACTAATAAAGTGAAAAATTGACTAATTTACCCCTGTGTGGCTGATGCCATCACAGTAGAAAACACAGCCCACATTCCTTGGAAGATTTCAAGACTAATGTTCTTCATCAATATCAAAAGAACCCGGACGAAGAATGTGACATTGTTGACGATGACAATGAATGTGGCTCAATCCTTGAGGAAAATGAGGACTTAAACAACATTATTACTAAGAAAGTGGGGCTACTCCTCCTGAAAATGGAGAGCATTTTCAATGTCTCCAATTCATGCATTGACGAACTAGTAGAGGAACTTCATTTCCTTACAGCATCTACATCTGGTCCCGCCATTAAAGAAATAATTCTGAGCACTTTGATAAAACATGGCTGTACATTGGAAGACTCAGTGATTTCAGAACTGGTCAAAGACCTTTGTCCGCCTAAGCCCTGTCTGTGCTGCTTTAAGAGTGGAAGGGCCTTTAAGCAGTCAGTTCAGGAGAGAAATTTCGAAAGGAGCATCTCTCATTGACTGAACCTGTTGAGTACATACTTGATAGTACAGATAATAAAACATTTCAGTATATACCAGTCCTCCCGTTATTATCTCAACTTGTGGACAACAGACACATTCAAAACACAATATTACAAAACAAAAGGCCATCTGATGTCTCTTCGGAATACAAATCATTTAATGATGGATCTTTACTAAGAGAAAACAGCTTTTTATGTGAAGACGAACTTAAACTCCCACTCATCCTTTATATAGATGACTTTGAAATATGCAACCCTCTGGGAACATCCCGCAAAAAGCATAAAGTCACAGCTGTGTATTGGGTGTTTGCAGACATACCTGCCACATTGAGATCTACACTGACTTCCATTTACTTAACCCTTTTTTGCAAGGCAAATGATGTCAACCAGTTTGGTTACAAAAAGATCTTACATCATCTGCAATGGACATCTTCCTGTAAGAAGAGACAGACGACACCTCTCTTCGTACACATGGCGACCGTCTCCATCCTTCACTGCAAACACAAACTGTACTGGGGGCTTAAAAACTAAAGTAACTAAAGACATGGAGGTAAAGAAGTGTGTGTAAATGTACTAATCAAGTTATAAATGCTCGCCATGTTTGTTTTTAACAGGCAGCTGATGATGTCAGACTCTGCTTCTAGGCCCCACCCATTAAACACACCTGTACCTACAT